TTGTCTGGATGTTTTTAGAAACATTTTCCTCTGCCTACGGAAGGCACGTGCAAATCCAAATGCCAGAGGGCAAACGAAGACTTCACATAGCGCTTCCAGGGGCTGCTGCTTCTTCCCAACATGATTTTAGCTTTTCATACTTCATCAATTCCTTACATAATACAGTTTTTCCTTCTTTCATGGAAAAGGCTGTTCACTACTATTAAAAGGGGAGTTTAATATGACTGGAAAAAGACAGAGTGAAAGATTTGGGGTTTATTTGTGAAAAAAATCGGGATTTCCCCTTCAGTCAACATAATTTATCAACTACCAAATGGACACTGACAAGTGGAAATGCAAACATAGCCTCAAAGAGACAACACAACAACTACTGTCTTGTTTAAGTGATTTCACTTCGCACGTTTAAGCCATTTCAATCTTTCGCATTTACACCATGACACTCTATACTTTCTATAAGTCCAGACTATCTCTAAACCCATTTTCTACATTTTCTGTAAATCCAGACTTAGGAGACACAGAGGACACAAAAATTTAATGCAGAGAACACAAAAATCTGAGAATACGCCATTAATTGAAATCTCTTGGAATTAATGTTGCATACCAGAAAAAAACCAAACCAAAACAAAACACAACTATAAAAATCCTGTTTTTCTATTAAACTTTTGAACTCAGTCTGTCAAATTCCTTTGCAGATAAACAGAATTATTTTTGGCCAAGTGATGAAAGTTTGCAATTCATTGGGATTCATGGTTATAGGGAAATTATAGAAATAGAATCAGAATCATCTCATCGAGTGAATCACTGGAACACCTGACGCCTCATTATTTTACATAAAGGGAGAACAGCTGCGAAGTTGTTTGAGGTAAACATAGAACTCTAGTCTAAAAAAATTATTCTTAAATTATACTACTCAGTCTACTTCTGCACGGCACTGTTTCCCTGCTGACTGCTTGACTGATTGGAGGCAAAACCTGTCGAAGGGCATGTCCTAAGACACGGATGGAACAACGGAGAGAAAGACCTCTCTAAAATTCAATTTATGTCCCCTGCTTCACTCTACTGTGGCGAAACGGAGCATCTGCAAACACATCAAAACTGCTGTAAGCAGTTAATGAGCCCGGACCATGATTCCTTCCTAGTGGAAGAGAACAGAGTTTGCTTTCTTGTGCACAGTATTTAGAAAGGGAAATTAAAACATCTTAATTGACATTGAATTTTGAAACTTTTAGATACCAGACAGGGGTGTCACACTACAGGGAGGTGAGAATAAATTAAAGCAGCTTTGTGCTACGGTTGTATTACAATTTTGTTCAGGGGCTGAGTTTGCGGTTTCTTGCAGGGAACAGGATATCTGCAACGGCCACAAGCTGTTCGAAATAGTAACGTGCACAAGACACCTAAACAGAGATTGTTATATTAAAAACTAGCGAGTATGGACGTAAAAGGGCAAAGAGAGAAAGGTTACTACACACACTGAGAACTAACGATCTCTGTTCCTCGGGGGAACATGAGCGACATACATGCTGCTCTCCTTATCTTGGTCAGCCAGAACCTCCCAAATGCACGAAAGCTGTCAGACATGCGTTCGTGCTTTCCAGGGTACCACCATATATCCTTTTTCCTGAGATTCTTGTCTTCAAGTGAAAATCAGTGTGAATCAACTTTTCTCACGCGTGAATCAATGCGACCCAGCAGGCCAGGGGCTATACTTCACACCTGAAGCCTTCCCCACATTCAGCAAAAAACCTGTAAAAACCGGGGTTTGAAGATTTTTCTTTGCATATATTTTTAGAAGATGCTTTCTCTGAGAAACCCAAGTATCTCAGAACTCAGCACAGACAGTGAAACAGCCAATTGCTTTTTAATTAAAAAGTCTGTTGAAATTGAGAGAAAGTATTCACAGGAGCATTGAATTTATTATTCCTTTATCTGACTCTCTTCTCTTCGACTTCCAAACCCCTTCCAGTGAACTGGTTAGTGTGCACAATGCAATTAGGTGCTACAAAAATATTTAAGTTTATTGTAGAAAATTTAATGAGAGCATTGGCAGAATCCTTCAGCTACTCGGTAGACAGAACAATGGCAAAATAGGAGAAATAGCCCTAATAGGTACTTTTTTTCATGAGTTTTAATGCATAGCATGTCTAAGCTCTACCTTTTCCATTTTATTCTGGAACAAATTAAGGCATTGCAAATCTCAGCAATAGCAGCAGCATGCAGTTCCTGACACACATCGTCTGCTGCAGCTAGTATAGCCTCTTCGTACCTTTGGAGACACACTGCCATAAAACTAAGCCCTCAAAATGTGAGTCAACAGTATTAATTTTAAAACATAAAACTGAGATATAAAGGTGCAACACTCATTAAAGACTAATCCAAGTATTCAGTTCTGTCTCTGTATACACAGAATTGACACTACTGTGCCAAAAAAAGGCACTAATACAATAATTTCATTTCTGTTTCATTCAGACAACAAAAACAGCAAGGTGAAAAACTGCACTTGGTATCTGCCAGACAACTGACAGATGAAGCGTTTAGTGTCCATGGTGAACCAACTGCAGTAAGAAAGGAGCTGCAGCTCTGGGTGTTTTGCAGAAAGTGCCCAGGACGCCCAAGGATGGGCCTCACACCAAGGCACAGAGCTCTTCATCACCCCTTGGCTCCCCATGAACTCCGGGCCCCACCGTTACAGAAAATGGCAGGGGACCACTTTGTACTTCAGAGCGTAAATGATGTTACTAGTGATCCTAAAACTGCAGCTGGACTACTTATACTTCTAAAATCTTATGACAGAAATAACCGCTCATCTAACCGACAAATATCCTCAGCACACCTTAACTTCTACCCAAGAGTTCAGCTGTTTTATACAGAGACAGCCTACAGATGCCAGAGACGTGACAGTTGTCGGTGAAAAACCATGTCATTTATTCCTTATCAGCAGTGTAATGAGAAAGGTTAATTAAAAAAATTAAGTGTGTCATTTTTTTTTTTTTCCCCTGCTGACGCCTATTTTTTCTCCCTGGGTGTCAGTAGAATGGGATAAACTGGTCCCTGTGCAGGCCGCAGTCATCTGAAACCTGTGCAACACACAACTCTTCGTTGCACTTGGCAATGCAAACATTCCTTGCACCCACACGCTACAGAAGCAGCTTCTCCCATACTCTCAGCCAGACATTGGAACATTTAAATTATATGAAACACCAAACTGATGTCATTTCCCTTTCTGGTACTTGTCTGTTTTTTCCCTGCTGCACCAAGTCTCTTCCGCTTCCCCAGGCAGTCAGAAATGACAGATAAGGGAATGCAAAGAAATGGAGTGTGAATGTAAAAGGAAATATAATTGGTTCAAGACTCTCTACTGTCTTCAATTTTGTACAGTCATTTACAGCTGTCTAAAGAGTGTGAAACACTGGCACCCAAGTGAGCGAGTAGGCAATTAAAATTTTGTACTCTCACAATCATTCTGCACAGATGTAAACTACTGGATACAGTTCGAGACAGCAGCAACACACTGAGTCCTCTGGCTTGAAGACCGTATCGCTCTGCCGAGACGGATGATGCTTTTCCCTGATGTGTCTTCACAGCTCAGTCCTGGAAAATGCTGAACCCTTGGACCCCCATCCAACAGAAGTGCTTACGCGCCTACTTAACATTGCAAACTCATGCATGTCAATACTTTCATTATTTGCAGCAGGATATTTTGTAGGCAAGAAAAGCAAGGCCCCAAAACTAGACAAGCTCAGCCCAGTATTACTCAAGAAGCCCACTGTTCAGCCACACGTTTTACGTTTTGACCAGGAAACTGGAAACCCTTTAAACAATAATATCAGGTGAGCCAGCATGAAGCTGTGTGTAAAAAATAAAGCAAATCAAGGTAAATTGAGAGCTGTTTTAGAAGCTAAAATTGCCTGCAACACCTACTGCCTACATATATTTGCTAATGAAATGCAAAATGTCTTCCTTACGTCACAGACCGAAGTTCGACCCTGTCCGTAATTGCTACCGATTGATTACCAGGCTGTAACAATCTGAATGGTGGTTTTACTTCAGTTTTAAAGAGGTGTCTAAACCAGTTACATCCTTTCCTTCAAGAGTCAGCATGAAGAAAAGGACTAGGATTGGGAAATGGAGGTTTAATTATCCCCCAGCCTTCAGTACACATCACTGTAAGAAGGGGTGGACTGAGGAATGCAACTAATGTAGGAAAATTGTACAGAATGGCTGCAACAACACAGGTAGCTGCAGTGGTGGGTAGTCAGATACCGTTAAATTATGTTTTAAATCATTAACTAAAAATCATAAATATATGTTTACAAATATTCACATTTTCATTTTCTTCAGGGCTACTTAGCAGGACATTCCATTGGGTTTGTTTTTAAATCAGATTAAAACATAAAAGAACAGTACTCTTGTTTATTTACCTTCAGACTTTGATTATGTAACATATTCCTAATACATTTTAGGAGACCGAGCATAGCAGGAGAGTCATCTTTTAATTTAAGGAGTCTGCACTGACTGCAAAATTAAAAGAACTTGTATTGTTTAGCAGGGAGAAGGGCCTAAAGTCTACACATAAATTTAAGAAGTATGCATTAGTACTGCCGTTCTCAAATTAATTGCATTAACTGTAACTGTCTAAACACAAAATATGCCTTTTCTAAGCAAACATTTCTTCTGTCTTAATTAGATGTAATAAATTCTTAAAGGGTATCAACAGGACCATCCTCACAAATTGTCAGGCATAGGGCTTGTTTGTTTGCCTCTCATGACAACACATCCCAAAATACAGAGCATATTTCAACTTGTTATTCTCCGAGTTGTCTGCCAAACTGCAGATGAATTGTAAACACAAAGAACATGTTAAACCTAATTCAAGCCCACCAAAAAAAAAAAAAAAA